TTAGCTTGAGTGAGAAATTAACCTTGGCTTGGTTATACCTCTGAGATTTGGGTGTTGATGTGTTTCTGCAGCATAACCACTCCTGTGCTGACTAATCCAGTCCCTATCTTACCTCAGTCATAACGGCTGTCATTTATTGAATGCCTTCTCTATGTCCGAGCATGTGCCTTGCTCGACTCCATTTAATCCTCCCAGCAGCCCTGTGAGAGAGCTCCTACCATCTCCATTTCCCTGATGAGGAAGCAGAAGCTGAGGGAATCTTGCCCAGCCGGGGCCATGCAACTAGGAAGTTGCAGAGTCAGGGTTCTACCTCAGGTCCGTCTGACTTTGAGGATAGTGTTTTTCTCTTAAACTAGTTTCAAGGTCAAGGGAGCTTAGACAAGAGAATCTATTGTGTGAGGTGAAGGTTGGAGACTAGGGAGGCGGGACAAAGGGGAAGTAAGTCTGTAATTCAGGATGAGAAGGAACATCCAGGCTCAAGATCCCAAATTAGAATGCTAATATTACTTACGAGTCTCATAGACAAAGAGAAAATCCTGAAAGCAGCTCGGGAGAAGAGATATGTAACCTACAATGGTAGAAACATTGGATTGGCAACAGACCTATCCACAGAGACCTGGCAGGCCAGAAAGGACTGGCAGGATATATTCAGAGCACTAAATGAGAAAACTATGCAGCCAAGAATACTATATCCAGCTAGGCTGTGATTGAAAATTGAAGGAGAGATAAAAAGCTTCCAGGACAAACAAAAACTAAAGGAATTTGCAAACACAAAACCAGCCTTACAAGAAATCTTGAAAGGGGTCCTCTAAGCAAAGAGAGAGCCTAAAAGCAACATAGACCAGAAAGGAACACAGACAATATACGGTAACAGTCACCTTACAAGCAATACAATGGCACTAAATTCCTATCTTTCAATAGTTACCCTGAATGTAAATGGGCTAAAGGCCCCAATCAAAAGACACAGGCTATCAGACTGGATTAAAAAACAAGACCCATCGATATGCTGTCTGCAAGAGACTCATTTTAGAACCAAAGACACCCCCAGATTGAAAGTGAGGGGGTGGAAAACCATTTACCATGCTAATGGACACCAAAAGAAAGCTGGGGTGGCAATCCTTATATCAGACAAATTAGATTTTAAACCAAAGACTGTAATAAGAGATGAGGAAGGACATTATATTCTACTTAAAGGGTCTATCCAACAAGAAGATCTAACAATTGTAAATATCTATGCCCCTAACATGGGAGCAGCCAATTATATAAGGCAATTAATAACAAAAGCAAAGAAACACATCGACAACAATACAATAATAGTGGGGGACTTTAACACCCCCCCTCACTGAAATGGACAGATCGTCTAAGCAAAAGATCAACAAGGAAATAAAGACTTTAAATGACACACTGGACCAAATGGACTTCACAGACATATTCAGAACATTCCATCCCAAAGCAACGGAATACACATTCTTCTCTAGTCCCCATGGAACATTCTCCAGAATAGATCACATCCTAGGTCATAAATCAGGTCTCAACCGGTACCAAAAGATTGGAATCATTCCCTGCCTATTTTCAGACCACAATGCTTTGAAACTAGAACTCAATCACAAGAGGAAAGTCGGAAAGAACTCATATACATGGAGGCTAAAGAGCATCCTACTGAAGAATGAATGGGTCAACCAGGAAATTAAAGAAGAGTTAAAAAAATACATGGAAACCAAGGAAAATGAAAACACAACTATTCAAAATCTTTGGGATGCAGCAAAGGCAGTCCTAAGAGAAAAGTATATAGCAATACAAGCCTTTCTCAAGAAACAAGAAAGGTCTCAAGTATACAACCTAACCCTACACCTAAAGGAGCTGGAGAAAGAACAGCAAATAAAGCCTAAACCCAGCAGGAGAAGAGAAATAATAAAGATCAGAGCAGAAATCAATGAAATAGAAACTAAAAGAACAGTAGAACAGATCAACGAAACTAGGAGCTGGTTCTTTGAAAGAATTAACAAGATTGATAAACTCCTGGCCAGACTTATCAAAAAGAAAAGAGAAATGACCCAAATCAACAAAATCATGACTGAAAGAGGAGAGATCACAACCAACACCAAAGACATACAAACAATTATAAGAACATATTATGAGCAACTCTATGCCAGCAAATTAGATAACCTGGAAGAAATGGATGCATTCCTAGAGATGTATCAACTACCAAAACTGAACCAGGAAGAAATAGAAAACCTGAACAGACCTATAACCACTAAGGAAATTGAAGCAGTCATCAAAAATTTCCCAAAAAACAAAAGCCCAGGGCCAGATGGCTTCCCAGGGGAATTCTACCAAACATTTCAAGAAGAATTAATACCTATTCTTCTGAAACTATTCCAAAAAATAGAAATGGAAGGAAAACTTCCAAACTCATTTTATGAGGCCAGCATTACCTTGATCCCAAAACCAGACAAAGACCCCATCAAAAAGGAGAATTACAGACCAATATCCCTGATGAACATGGATGCAAAAATTCTCACCAAAATACTAGCCAATAGGATCCAACAATACATTAAAAGGATTATTCACCACGACCAAGTGGGATTTATCCCTGGGCTGCAAGGTTGGTTCAACATCCGCAAATCAATCCATGTGATACAATACATTAACAAAAGAAAGAACAAGAATCATATGATCCTCTCAATAGATGCAGAAGAAGCTTTTGACAAAGTACAGCATCCTTTCTTGATCAAAACTCTTCAGAGTATAGGCATAGAGGGTACATACCTCAAAATCATAAAAGCCATCTATGAAAAACCTACAGCGAATATCATTCTCAATGGGGAAAAACTGAGAGCTTTCCCCCTAAGGTCAGGAACGCGGCAGGGATGTCCACTATCACCACTGCTATTCAACATAGTATTGGAAGTCCTAGCCACAGCAATCAGACAACAAAAAGAAATAAAAGGCATCCAAATCGGCAAAGAAGAAGTCAAACTCTCACTCTTTGCAGATGATATGATACTTTATGTGGAAAACCCCAAGGACTCCACCCCGAAACTGCTAGAACTCATACAGGAATTCAGTAAAGTGGCAGGATATAAAATCAATGCACAGAAATCAGTGGCATTCCTATACACCAACAACAAGACAGAAGAAAGAGAAATTAAGGAGTCGATCCCATTTACAATTGCACCCAAAACCATAAGATACCTAGGAATAAATCTAACAAAGAGGCAAAGGATCTGTACTCAGAAAACTATAAAATACTCATGAAAGAAATTGAGGAAGACACAAAGAAATGAAAAAACGTTCCATGCTCATGGATTGGAAGAACAAATATTGTGAAGATGTCAATGCTACCTAGAGCAATCTACACATTCAATGCAATCCCCATCAAAATACCATCCACTTTTTTCAAAGAAATGGAACAAAGAATCCTAAAATTTGTATGGAACCAGAAAAGATCCCGCATAGCCAGAGGAATGTTGAAAAAGAAAAGCAAAGCTGGCAGCATCACAATTCCGGACTCCCAGCTCTATTACAAAGCTGTCATCATCAAGACAGCATGGTACTGGCACAAAAACAGACACATAGATCAATGGAACAGAATAGAGAACCCAGAAATGGACCCTCAACTCTATGGTCAACTCATCTTCGACAAAGCAGGAAAGAATGTCCAATGGAAAAAAGACAGTCTCTTCAACAAATGGTGTTGGGAAAATTGGATAGCCACATGCAGAAGAATGAAACTGGACCATTTCCTTACACCACACACAAAAATAGACTCCAAATGGTTGAAAGACCTCAGTGTGAGACAGGAGTCCATCAAAATCCTAAAGGAGAACACAGGCAGCAACCTCTTTGACCCAGCCGAAGCAACTTCTTCCTAGAAACATCGCCAAAGGCAAGGGAAGCAAGGGCAAAAATGAACTATTGGGACTTCATCAAGATAAAAAGCTTTTGCAAAGCAAAGAAAACAGTCAACAAAACCAAAAGACAACCGACAGAATGGGAGAAGATATTTGCAAATGACATATCAGATAAAGGGCTAGTATCCAAAATCTATAAAGAACTCATCAAACTCAACACCCAAAGAACAAAGAATCCAATCAAGAAATGGGCAGGAGACATGAACAGACATTTTTCCAAAGAAGACATCCAAATGGCCAGCAGACACATGAAGAAGTGCTCAATATCGCTCAGCATCAGGGAAATCCAAATCAAAACCCAATGAGATACTACCTCACACCAGTCAGAATGGCTAAAATTCACAAGTCAGGAAACGACAGATGTTGGCGGGGATGCGGAGAAAGGGGAACCCTCCTACACTGTTGGTGGGAATACAAGCTGGTGCAGCCACTCTGGAAAACAGTGTGGAGGTTCCTCAAAAAGTTGAAAATAGAGCTACCATATGATCCAGCAATTGAACTACTGGGTATTTACCCCAAAGATACAAAAGTAGGGATCTGAAAGGGTACGTGCACCCCGATGTTTATAGCAGCAATGTCCACAATAGCCAAACTGTGGAAAGAGCCAAGATGTCCATCTACAGATGAATGGATAAAGAAGATGTGGTATATATATATACAATGGAATATTATGCAGCCATCAAAAGGAATGAGATCTTGCCATTTGCAACAACGTGGATGGAACTGGAGGGTATTATGTTGAGCGAAATAAGTCAAACAGAGAAAGACATGTATCATATGACCTCACTGATATGAGGAATTCTTAATCTCAGGAAACAAACTGAGGGTTGCTGGAGTGGGGGGTGGGGTGGGAGGGATGGGGTGACTGGGTGATAGGAACTGGGGAGGGTATGTGCTCTGGTAAGCGCTGTGAATTGTGCAAGACTGTTGAATCTCAGATCTGTACCTCTGAAACAAATAATGCAATATATGTTAAGAAAAAAAAAGAAGAAGAAGAAGAAGGTAGCAGGAGGGGAAGAATGAAGCAGGGGAAATTGGAGGGGTAGACGAACCATGAGAGACGATGGACTCTGAAAAACAAACTGAGGGTTCTAGAGGGGAGGGGGGTGGGAGGATGGGTTAGCCTGGTGGTGGGTATTGAGGAGGGCACATTCTGCATGGAGCACTGGGTGTTATGCACAAACAATGAATCATGGAACACTTCGTCTAAAACTAATGATGTAATGTATGGGGATTAACATAAGAATAAAAAAAAAGAATGCTAATATTATGGAGAGACAAAAATGCAACTTTAAATATTACTTTGGTAATGACCACCCCTTGATATTGCCCGTAAAGAGGCCATTAACACCCAACACATAGCTGCTGTTTCCTCCCACCAGCAAGAAGAATCCCTAACGTAAGCTGTTGGCTGTTGCACAAATATGTTAACCCAGAAACCAGATTAAGTCCTAAGACATTAGAACGGAAAAGAACCTCCTCTTATCCTTGGGGTTAAGAAGGGTGAAGCCCCGAGATGGGAAGTCCCCTATTTCAGATCACACAGTGCGCTCTTGGTAGCTGTCCTTGCTGTGCCTCAAACATTTTGCCTGAGCGTTTGCAGAAGTGCACAGAAGAAAATGCATGTGTGCTCTGCCTTGCCTGCACTACTATAAGACCCTGCATGTTTCCTGAAGGCCGGAGTAGCATTGGACTTACCCACCTGTCTCTATCCCTTCGCACATACATTGGCCAAAAACTAAGTATTTGCACACGAGTGATCTCTTCTGATCTTCACAGAAACCGTTTGAGCAAGCAGGGCAGATTTTTGTCTCCGTTGTATAGACACCAGAAAGGTCTCAGTGAGGTGGAGTGTTTTGTCCAAGGTCGCATGGCACGTGGGTAACTGCAACCCGATTCTTTACTCTCAGATAAACCTGCTATCCTTCTGGATCCAGGGGACACCCTTAAGCTCATGTTGTAGACCAGCCCAATGATTAAGGGCTTGGCTCTTCTTTCATAATCCAGCTAGTCAGTCCTCCTGTGACTCACTTTCTTTATCTGTAAAGTTAGGAGGATAATAGTAACTATCTAACTCAAGAAGAATCAAGTAAACAAACACATACAAAGCTCTTAGAATAGTGCTTGGGACAGAGTTAGTGCTCCATGGGTATTAGCCAGGACTCTAACAAGATGCTTGGCATCAGTGGGTAGATAGTTTGGCAGTCCTCAAAGGACATTAGTGGTCCATGACATGTAACAATTTGTTGTTTTGCTGAGACAGAAGTTAACTACTCCCAGGGAATGTTATGGTGATGATCATCTTACAAGACGCACACATTATTTTTTGTGAAAAATGACCACTGAGGGAGTGAGAATAGTGTAAATCCAGGTAACTGGGGGAGACACAGGCAGGAAGCATGTGCCTCTAGAATGGCTGTGTGTAGGCAGAGAGCAGGAGCCTTTCTGGAGCAAAACAGGAGGTCTCTGGGAAACCCTTACAGATGTTGGTAGAAGGGTGTCATCCAGACGTCGTTTAGCCAGGGGCTGTGGAACACAGGGCCTGCCTTGCAAGTCCCAAGGAGGAATGTTAAGTGCCCAGAGGACACAGAACAATGTATCAGTCTCCAACTGTGGCTCCAGAAACCCACCTGGACGCCGAGTGAGCGTGCCCAGATGAGACTGAAAGGCCCCTTCCCTGGTCCTCACTCAAGCCCTAAGGCTTACCACCCCAGTAGTGGAAAGAGATCCAGCCATCCCACGCTGTCCCAAAGCCAAGCCCCAGGCTGCTCACTCCAGGCCTCCTGAGGACAAGGTGGTGGGCCTGCTACGTGGCAGGAAGAGCTGGTCCTGAAATTTGTTGGGTTGATACTGGGTTGTCCAAGCACAAATGTGAATAGATAACGTGGCATAAATTAGTGCATTGGGGTAAAACTGGCCGTGATTTGATGAGGTGTTTGTAGGAAGGACGCTTGTTCTCCCTAGAGATGAGAGAGAATGATATATTGTTCAGGGTGGGACGGTGCCATCAGAGAATCTGGGGCCTGGAGGCAAACAGACCTACATCCAGATCCCAACGTTGGCTCTGTATCGTACTCTGCATTTGGGCAAGCGATCCCATTTCCCCAAGCCTCAGTTTTTTCAGCTGTAAGATAGGAATGCTAATTCCTACCCCTGCTTGTTGTAAGGGTTATCAATACTCTAGGCACTTGCTCAGTGGCGACCACCACGCCAGGGCTCCTACTCTGTGCCCGATGCCTCCCCATACTTCGTCTCATTGTTCTGCAGATGTCACAACTTTTGGTACACCGATGTGCTATTATTTACTTAATAACTTTCTAAGTCAGCTCACTTTTTCATTTAAGCCTCATCCTGAGCAATCGTAGCCATGAAATTATGGGTTTGATATGCTTTTTTTTCCTAACATGCCTTAAAATATACGCATACCCTTTAAAACAACAATTTTCTTTGTGTGAGACCGAAGACAGAAGAAAAAGAAAAAAAGAGCCAGTGTGCTAAGCAACATTGATATGCACACCACACTTGGGGATGCCCAAATGTCCGAATTTAATCCCCAAGCCACCCTGTCAAGAGGAGAACTCTTTTTGAGATAAAGAGATGGATTTCCCACTCAACAGCACGCATCCAATCAGCACCTTCGAGTGGTCAGTTTGACATTCCTTCCAGACGTTTTCTTTTTAAGAGGAATCTTTCAGATCCTCAATCTTCTTCTTGCCAGTAACCAAAAAGAGCAAAACATTGTAGGGAGTGCTCCTTGGAACACGCAAGGTTTCTGCAAGGTTGTTTTCCTTTTGAAAAGATTCATATTCATCTCAGTCCCTTGTAAATCAAACCCAAACCTCCAACGTGAGGAGGAAACAAACAACTTTTAATGGAGCTGACTGGAGGTGCCAGGAGTGAACCTTCAAGGCCAATTTGTGCTTCCAGCCAGACCATATTTAAACATATCTGCCATATGATTCCTTGACAACCTCCTCCCCACCCCAGCGCACCTTCGCACTCCTGGGTTGACTAGAAATCCACCCCCCCAACAGAGGGCATGGGGTGACCTCATTGGGCCCTGTTAGAGCTCAGGAATCTACAGGCATTCATCAGAACCAAGCAACTTTCACGATGGCATGGCTTCAATGATGGGGCATCTGGAGACTCCAATCCTGGGGTATTGCCACTTGCCTTCACAGTGCTGTCCTGCGTGTGAACGCCTCAGTTCAGGTATGCTGCAGAATTCTCTAGAACTCTCTGGGCTGCAAGAGACAGAAGCCACCTCAACCAAAGAACTCCTCATAAGGATACAGAGGCATCCCAAGGAAATCAGGGCAGGACTGCAGAGGAGCCTCAGGAAGGGCCCAGTGTCACAGAGCTCCCCTCCCCCTCCCCTGCAAGCCCTCTCTGTCCCAGTTACATCCTGTGTGTCTCATTCATGCCCTCTTCTGAGCAGATCATCTGTCCCTGCTTCCAACATTCTTGGGGCAGAAAGTGGCCATCCACAGTTGTAGAGTTTTATGCCACCCAGGGAGAGACTGAAATGCCCTCTCAGGCCCAGTTCCACACTCCCAGTGAAAGGGCTATACAGTCTGGCCCACCAGTCCATTTTCCTCCCTGTAACCAGGTTAGTGATCATTTTTTTAAAGATTTATTTATTTATTTTAGAGAGAGAGAGAGTGTGTGTAGAGGCAGAGGGAGAGTGAGAATATCAAGCAGACTTCCCCCTGAGCACATAGCTGGACTCAGGGCTCCATCCCAGGAGCCTGGGATCATGACCTAAGTCAGACGCTTTATCAACTGAGCCTCCCAGGCACTGCATCTCAGTGATCATTTCAAAATGTAATCTGGTTATAGTCCTCCTTATGTGTCTGTATTATGACTTTTGGATTTTTATTTGTCTACCCCCATTTAACTGCTCACTCCATCAGGATCGGGATAGGTCCGTTTATTCTCCTACTGAGCCAGTGCTCCTCAATAACAGCAGTGTTCATGCTGGAGCCTTTAACTGAATCATCCCTCAGAGCCTTTCAGAGCAGCCAAGTTTCAAAGCCATATAAAATATTTGAGCTGCTGCCCTTTGGGAAACCATGCATGATGCTGTCATAGGAAATTATATTCCAGATCATAAGAAGCCATTCGGCTACTCAAATTGTGGTCCATGGACCAGCAACAACAGCATTGCCTGGGAGCTTGTTAAAAATGCAGAATCTCAGGCCCAACCCCAGCCCTACTCAGTAGGAATCTGTATTTTAACAAGTAGATTCATGTGCACATTGAAGTTTGAGGAGCGCTGGGTTAGAACATCCTTTTCTATGTTCCTGTAACCTCTCTTGATTTCTTTCCATTATAAGTGCTTCTTTAGTGTTGGACATCTTTTTTAGCCTGTGAGCCTCGTGAGAGCGGGGACCCTGGCTGCTTTCCTCAGCTCTTCAACTTCGGTGCCTGGGACATCGCCCAGCATAGATAGGCAAGGATGGGTTTTTTCCCCTCCTGAAATTATTGCCCAGAAAAGGGCCCATCCAACGTCTTTCATATTAATGAATGCTCTATAAATTACTTTGTTTTGAACAAAAGATACTGCCTGGGAAAGGCACATTAATGTGAAAATGACCTCAAAGCTAGCTAGTTTGGTGTTTGCAGAGGTCACTCAACGGAGTCAATGAACAATGGGTAAAGAAATACAACCCAATTTAGTCATCATTTCTGGAAAGTATGACTTCACAATTGTAATTGCTAGACAGCACCATACATGCCTTTTGAAGATCATCTTTAAATATATTATGGTGTGTGGTAATGTTGTAGGGTCATGACATACAACCACAGAATCGTTTTTAAAAAAAAACAACAGTTCATCCAAGACTTCCCTCCCAGCTGCACACTGTGGATGATGCTACCTCATTCGCCTTCAGGAGCTGAGGAGGAAAGACCACATCTGGCAGGTCGTGGGAAGGTCCCTGCCCTGCCTTTTGCCAGCTGGTCATGGTAGGTGATCCATTTTACTTCCTCACCTGGGAAATGGGGATACTCATCTCCAACTCTGCTTGTTGTTCGGCGTCACGTATTCCACTAACTAGCGGAGGGCTGGGTTATCCAGCTCTCTGCAGGGCCCTCACCTCCCTCAGTCCCCTCAGTCATGTGCCCCCTGCACCACCTGTAGCCTCCGCTATGTGCAGCACAGGGGATGAGGCGACCCTGGCTCAGCCTTCCGCAAACCTGTGAGGTCATAAGGGCTGCGGTGGGTCCTGCGTGCCCTCACGTTTTCTGTTCTTGCACACCCGTCCACATGCTTGCCCTGCCCTACAAAGTCCCACCCAAATCTGCTTCTGTTCTACCCTCCCCACACTTTCCAATTCTCCATGCTCCAAACATTCACTCTCTCTGATCTAATTTCCATTCCTCAGGGCCCTGTTGCCAGGATTTTTAAGAAGGAACTAAATGCCAAGAGCATATGAATGACTGCGAGACCCATCTCTTAGTATTATAATAACTGTTGCAGTGGATTGGACATCTGGTTTTGCCTGACTTCTAGGTTGGATGTGCGGCTGGATGGTGGTGCCATTCTCTGGGATGGAGAAGAGGAGAGTGGGGACTTCCTGTTGAAATGTCTGACTGAGCTGACGAGGGAGACCCCCATCCCTGGCCCCACCCCTTACAGCCTTAAGGCCCAAGGCAAGAAAGAGTATAAATAGTCGGTGGGGGGGGCTTCAGCCATGGGCTTTGTGGGGGAAGATGGAAGTGAAGGCTGTTTGGACCCACATTATAAGGGATCTTTATGGAATTCATCCTGGAGGAGATGGGGAGCCAGTGAAGAGTCAGGACTGGTGGCATGATCTGATTGGCATCTTAGGAAAATCCCTCCAAGAGCAACAGAGAAGGGATCAGGGAGGGCGAGAATGGAGGCAGACAGACCAGTTAGGAGAGAGTCAGAGTATTCCTGTTGGGAGACGTGGGCCACCTGAACGGAGGCAGTGACATGAAAACAATAGGTGAGGGTTGATGTGTAAGAAATTTCCAAGGCAGAAATGGGGTGTAAAGGAAAGAGAATTACTGAGGGTGACTTCCTGCTTTCCAGGCATGTGGCTGATAAGGTCGGGGGGAACCAGTCACTGATGTAGGTGCCCCAGAAGGAGGTTTGGAAACGCCAAGTTTGAGGTGCACCTCCAAGAGGAGTTGTCCAGGAAGTATTTAGAGATACTGGCAGGGCTTGGCAGGTCTGGGCAGATTTAGGATCAAAAGTTAAGGCAGGGATACAGAAGTCTAGAGCAGCTGTCCAGATGAGAGACAGTGGGGGCCCAGCCCAGAAATGGTGGCAAAATGACCCAGAGAAGTAGATGGAATTGAGAAGCATTTAGGAGGCAGAATGGGCAGCACTTAGAGATGGTTGGAATACAAGAGGTGAGCTGGAGGGGAAAGTCAGGGGTGGTTCCCAGTTTTCTAGGCACAGCATCTGAGAGGAGAGCAATGCCATCCATGGAACAAGATGTAGTTTGGGGGAAAGATGATGACTTAGTTTGGGTTCTCCTCAAAGCAGAGCTTGAGGCAAGGATTTGGGTAAGCACTTTGTTAGGTATTCCAGGTAGGAGTGGGAAATGAGCCAGGGCAAGGAAGAATGTTGACACAAGGTGTGTTGGTGCACGGATCACTGCTGTGGGCAGTGCCTCAGCCTGCCTGGGAACCAGGGACAGACTCTGGGTCATGCCTGAGCGTGGTCCCCTGAAGCTGGTTGCGTGTCGCTCCTGGGGTGCTAACTCTCCAGCACGTCCATCCTACTCCTCATTGGGGGTGGAGAGAGAACTTTCTCTGGTGGTGTAGACAGCTGTCTCAGAGTAGACCAAAGATGTATGGGTGGGGCACCAGAAGCGTTTGCTACAGGTGATGAAACAGCTCAAATGGGTTGAGTCTCAGGCATCTGAGACTTCCCGCTGGAGATGTCCCCAAACTGAAGATGGTGACAGTGCAGTAGCCATCAAGGATTCCTGACACTGTGCCCTGGAAGGGTGGGGGTCTTCATATGTGTTTATTTTATCTTTTGTTTTGGGGTTTTTTTTTAAAGATTTTATTTATTTATTTTTGTGAGAGAGGGCAGGAGAGAGAGTGTAAGTGCGGGCGTAAAAGTGGGGGGGAGGGGCAGAGGGAGAAGCAGACTCCCCTCTGAGCAGGGAGCCCAATGTGGGATTCAATCCCAGGACCCTGGGATCATGTCCCAAGCCAAAATCAGATGCTTAACCGACTGAGCCACCCAGGCGCCCCCATGTGTGTTTGGAGCCCTCGAGTATCAGTGGTCTTGGGGACCCAGCTGATGAGCTCCTCTCCCATCCCCCCACCCCCAGAGCTGGCTGCAAGGCCAGTATTTAGGGCTCAGTCCACCTCTCACAGAACAGTAATCAGCTGCTTGAACAGTCCTCCCTCCCTGTCTGTGTATCGAGAGTGCCACTTGTCAACGGTTCCAAGAAGTGGGGCTCGTTAAGCAAAGAAGAAGCTGGGGACCTGGAGAAGACAGGCTAGACAAACTAAGGACAGACCAGAGACTGAAAAACAAGAGAGCTGGGGTGGGGTGGGGAGTGCCACCGCCATCACATCAGCTAAGTGAGTGAGAGGAGAGAGAGTGGAATGAGCGCTGGCCAAGGAGTTGATGCCGCGTCCCTCGTCCCCACAGTACCCTCTTAACCACAGAAGGCAGGCAGGCGTTGAATGTGTTCGTGTTTGTGTTTCTTGACCTTTGCAGTGGGATGATGTGCTTAGCCCGCCACTATCCAGTAGAAATAGGATCCCAGCCACAAACGTAATTGTAAATATCCTAGTAGCCACATTTTAAAAAGTGAAAAGAGACAGGTACAATTCACTTCAATAGCATATTTTATCTAATCCAATATATCCAAAATACTATCGTTTCAACGTGTAACCACTGTAAACAATTATGAAGATAATGATCAGATATTTTACATTGGGGGGCGTGGGGCTAAGTCTTCAAACCTGTGTGTATTTTATACTTAGAACCCATCTCAATTCAGACCCACCACATTCAAGGGCTTACTGGTCACACGAGGCTGTGGCCACTTTTTGGGTGGCCCAAGTCCAGCCTGTCTGCCTTAGAGAACCAGGGGGAGGAGCCAGTTGGGCCCCACCCATCTCTCTCCGTGCACCTCTTCATTGTAGGGTCCAATCCTCACAACATGATAATTATGATAATTGAGAATTTACATTGTGGTGAGAGGTTTATGGACTTGACCTTATTTGAGCCACACACCCTGTTAGACATGTATTATTAACCCTATATTATTTATGGATGAAACAGTTCGGGCACTGAAAGGTCAAGCAGTTTGCCTGTGGTCATATTCCCCATTAGTACTGACCTCAGGATTGGAAAGTAAATCTCTTTGACTCAGAGGTCTTGCACTTATGCATGAAGCATGCTGCCAGTCCCAAGAGTCATCTCTCTCTCTCTCTCATTCACCTCAGGGCCTTTGCACGCACTGTTCCTGCCGCCTGCAATTTCCCTGCCTGGCTAACTCCCAGTAAGGAAGACACACATGGAGAGGGATGGTTCTTCCTCAGGATGTTGTCTTGTCTGGGTGTGACCTCTAAGCCAATGGCAGCCATCTTGAGACCAGGAGGTGATCAGGTTTGAGGATATTCCTGACGGACATTAAGGATGTAGGGTATGTGTTATGGTGAGCGCTGTGAATTTTGTAAGACTGTTGAATCACAGACCTGTACCTCTGAAACAAATAATACATTATATGTTAAAAATAAAAAAAAAAAGAAGAAGAAGATAGCAGGAAGGGAAGAATGAAGGGGGGGAATCAGAGGGGGAGACGAACCATGAGAGACTATGGACTCTGAAAAACAAACTGAGGGCTCTAGAGGGGAGGGGGGTGGGGGGATGGGTTAGCCTGGTGATGGGTATTAAAGAGGGCACGTTCTGCATGGAGCACTGGGTGTTATATGCCAACAATGAATCATGGAACACTACATCAAAAACTAATGATGTAATGTATGGTGATTAACATAACATAATAAAAAAAAAAAGGATGGCCGAGCCAAAAGATGGACAAGACTGAAGTCCTTGATGATGTCCTTGAGATGTTGAATTCAACCCTGGAGCTGCCCTAACTCAGGACTTCTTGTTAGGGTGAGAATATATTTCCTTATTACATAAGCCGAGTGAGTTGGGGTTTTCTGTTACTTTTAGCCTAAATCATCCTAACGATTACACTGTACCATGGAGAGATAGTACAGTCTGGGACCGAGTGGGGAATAGAGCAGAGGCGTGGGCTCTGGCTCCAGCATTGGGGGGTCTGGGATATCTTTTGTGCACAGATTGGATACCACTTCTGCACAAAGCCTTCCCAAAGTGCCACCTGCGCCCTGCCCCCCCGCCCCGCCCCAGCCTCCCAGGAAGTCATTCCTCCTTCTTCTGGACTCTTCTATCTGTGTATCTTGATAATCCATGTGTGCGTCTTCTCTCCTGGTTGCTGATGAGCTCCCCAAGAGGAGGGCCTGTGTGTCGGTCATTTCTATATCCCCCCAGTTATACCCTGCACATAGTAGGTGCTTAAAAATGATTGGGGAATCAATTAATATTAATTAACTAGTTCATTAATATTAACATCTCTACTTCCTATCATGAGAGAGAAGGCGTTTCCCCTAAGCATTCCAACTGACTGACAGATGAGTAAGTCATTTTCCTGCTCTGGGGCTCAGCTTTTCCACCTGTAAAATGGGAAGGTTGGATTAAATCTCCAACTCAAAAAAACTCCATGACTTGATAGTATTTTATATTAAGGGTCTGCTCTGTGCAGGGCTGTGCATTACAGGAAAGAATCTGACACATTCCCTTCCATGGAGACACCCTGGGTCTAGGGTGGAGGTTCTTTACCTTTGCAGGGGAATAGATCCCTTCGATGGTCTCTCCCCAGAAAGGCACTCCTGCCCTCTTTACATCTGTGGGCAGTTTTAGGGAATCCACTGAGCTAGACAAAAACATCCAACCTCCCCCGCCCTGCCCCCGTGCCCCGTGCCTACCAGCCCTGTCCGGAGCTGGAGCTAGGGGGCACGGAGGAATAGTGTGTTTCTCAGAAGAGCCTTCAGTGCAGAAGGGGAGGCAGATGTGCCAATAAACCACTGGCCTCCAGTTCGAGAGGCACTGCAACAGGCAGGCTCTGGTGACAGCAGGAACTACTGGGGAGTGCAGGGAAAACCCTGCTGCCTGTGTAAGGGATCGCCAGGTTCTCCTATGAGGAAGACCTTTTGGCGGCCAAGCAGAGGGAACATGCACCTGCCCCCGGGCTGTGAAAGGGCACAGGGTTTAATGGATGCTGAGTAACTGTGCAGTTGGATCAAAGCAGAGATGAACCCAGAGAGATGGTGGAGGGTAGCAGAAGGGACAGAGAATGGCGAGTGGGAGAGGAGCCAAGAGGAAGTGGCCGAGTACTGGATACTTTGGGGCGTGCCATAAGAGTGGGGATCAGAACAGGAAATCTCTGTAAAGTTTCATGAGGACATAAGGTCAGATGTGGGCCTTCCAAGAAACAGGCTGAAAAGTCAACACAGCCTCAGACTCTGTAGGACGAGCGCTATCTGTAAGTTGCAGGTGTTACCAAGGCTGTCACTGCCCCCTGAGAGGGAGCCTTCTGGGCAGAAAGCTGTCCTCACCAGGCTGGAGTGATGCACTTGCTGAGCTGCCAACAGGAAGCAGGTCGAGCTTGGAAAAATAAAAGCAGAGAGCTTTTTCCTTTGTGTGGTCCCATGCAACTCTTAACTCTGGCCCTTGTACCCGGCCTCCAGAGGCTGTTGTTAACATTTTGGGAAGCTAAAGGAAATCATTTTCCTGCAGCCCAGGCCCCGCGGGCCTTCCTTTTTGCTGGAGTTGCTTGGCAAGGTGTCTCCGCACGGCTCCCCTCACACTGGGCAGCACCAGGCCGATAAAACAGAATGCCTTTGAGTAATTCAAAGCTGGGAGAGTGTACTTTCCCTTAATTCATGTAGTTTTGTGGTAGATGAAATTATTTCATGGTGGGAAGATCTAAAGGAGCCTTTGTTTGGGAACAAATTAATTGGATCATTTCTAAGGTTCCTTCCAGATTTTTCATCCTGATCCATGTGGTGTCAGCCTCCAGGCTCCCTCTACGTTCTGCTGTCCCTTAGCCAGCTGCTCTTTGAGCTACACCTGCGTCTGACTCTTCCTTAATCAAAACGAATGGGGGCATGGAGTGATGGTCCAAGGGGACCTATTGTGTACCAAAAATTGTTTAATCATTTCACAACACCGTGACGTGAGGGTGGGTATGATTCCCATTTGACAGATGAATTCAGTGTGGCTCAGGGAGATGTGCACATTAAACAAACATGAAGGAAGGACCTGTGTGATAAACCCTAAACCAGGAGCTGGAGAAACAGCAGAGGACACGATGGAAGTTTTTCCCACACTCAGGGAGCTTATTGTCTAGCAGAGGAGAGAGGGGCCCTAGTAAAATAATCCCACAGATAAAGGGTGTTAGGAGAGTGTAGTAGGGGCTAGGGAAGGCTTCCTGGAGGAGGTGACACTTGAGTGCAGATTGGAAGCATGAGTATTAAAGCAGAGAGTCAGGGGCCAGGTGATCCAAGCAGAGGGAAGAGCACTTGCAAAGCCCTTGAGGCAGGAAAGAGCTTAGAGCTTTCCAAGGACTCGGAGGAGTGTGTGGCTAGAGCATGGAGGGGATGATGCAAGATCATACTCACTGAATCAGGAAGGGGTAGGCGGGGCTCGGCTCCGCATGACCTCCTGAGTCCGCAGCGTAGAAAGAGACGGCATGAGAAAGAGAACAAACTAGATACTAGGTTCTGGGCCAGGTGTTGTCATACATGTGATCTCATTTGATCCCAGAAGCCACCCAGTGGCAAATGTTTTCACTGTCCCATTTTTTGCAGGAGAAAACTGAGGCTCAAAGAGAGCAGACCGCTGCAGTCCCACAGCTGGTCAGAGGTGGAGCCCAGTTTCCTGCCACATCCAAAGCCCAGGCTATCCTCAGCTTCTCATCTCAGGGGCCTGGACACCCCGACTACCATCTCCCCACCACCCCTGCCTCGACCCTCCTCTTCCAGGTGCGAGATTTCCTGCGGGGCAAGCCCAGCCCGGCTCTCCTCGGCACCATGTTTTTGGCTTCTGGCCTTCCTCTGTGGCACCCTTGCTTGGGAATCAGAGAGGATGAAACTTGGGGTCTGGTAATTGTATTCCATTAAGCCTAATTAAGATGCAAATTTGTACAGTTAATGAAGAAGGCAATTTGGAGGCAATTTCGCTGGTGACACAGGACTCTCATCGGTGCCTCTCTTCCCAGGAGGTAGGGCTGAGGATGTGGGAAATGTATGCACTGCCGCCCCCCAAGCTGTATCTGGCCGCTCTCCAGGGATAAATTCTTCCTGCTGGAGAAGCACAACCCACCCCAGGTAGAACACACTGTGCAGAAACTGCTCAGCTCACATAATCCCTGACGTGGGGATCCCCTGGTTCTGGGGCCCTGGGCCCCCACCCCTGGGCTTTGCCCTGCCCAGGTCCCTCGATGTGGGGCTGGAGGGTCTGAGCAGTTTTCTGGAACCAGACTGCCTGGCTTCAAATCCTGGCTCCACCTTCACCATCTGGGTCTTTGGGCAAGTTTCTTAACCCGTCTGGGCCTCAGTTTCCTCCTCTGTGAAAGGGGACACAAAGAGCATCACCCGTTAAGGTTGCTGTGGAGACAAAATGAGGCATGGAAAGCACTTAGCACTTAGCAAGCCCCTGGCGCATGAATGTGGGACATTTTCAGTAGCTCGGCCACTTCCCCACTCTACCCAAACCCTAGGCTCACAAACTTCTCTCTGCTGCTGCCAGAGGTCGGCTGTCTTGGAGTCAGACTTTACTCAGGTCCTGGATGCCCTGTCCCTGTGGTCCACCTGGCTGGAAGCGGGGGTACACCCAGCAGCTGACTGCTGACACTTGTTGGTTGGCTGTTTTCCCATCCTTGGATACCAAAATCGGCCTGCTGGCCTGGACTTCCTTTCAGTACCTGACTCCCTGTCCTCCCACCACCTGGCTCCCCCTGCATCTGTGGCCATATTCATTTATAAATAAATTACTCGACTGACACCATCATGATCATAGCTAGGATTTGTTGTGTGTTCAATGTGCCAAGCTCTTTGCCTATAATTATGTTATTTCGTCCCCACAACAATTTACAGATGCAGAAACTGAGGCTCAGAGAGGTAGAGTGACTTGCCCAGGGTCACACAGCTGGTGTGGTGTGGAACTGGGACTCACACTATGTCTGTCTGGTTCCTTACCTGATTTTCAAGCTCCCTAGTCAAGTCGCTCTATAATTCCCAGGTGATTGCTGGGGACCAGGCCCTGTGCCCAGCGCCTGGGGCAGAAAACGCTGTCTGTAACCTCAAGGGGCATGAAGATTCGTAGGAAGGAGCAGACAGGAGGACAGACAATGCCAGCAGGGTGGAGGTGCTGTGATGGAGGGAACCCCAGAGGAGTGGAGTGTGGGGCGCACTTGGCTGGGGAGTTGAAGGACGGATGGAAGTCTCTGGAGATTTGCAGGGGAAAGGGCATTCCTGGAGGTGGGGAACAACAGGAGCAGCGACATGGAGGTGTGAGATACTTGGATGTATTGAAGTTAGGGGTCAGGGGTGGATGGTG